TTAAAAAAAAATAAGACCTTTAAGAAGCAATGAAGGAATCTTTGTCACCAAGTTAAGGAAAGATTATTAAACATCTACTTTTGAATACATAAGTCAGGTTTTTGAAACCTTTTGGAAACAGTTTCATCAAACTTCAAAGGACTAGAGTTTTGGCGGCTTACTAATCACCTTGAACGATTGCAGGGTATCTACCTGATGTCCTGTAACAAGGAGATATTTGGTAATTGCATTGTTTAGAGTCTTTCTTTCTTTCTCTTTTCTGAGGATTTTTGGAATATGTTCAAAAAAAAATCTAAAATATGCCCTCCTTTCTGTCCGGCCAATGTAGCTGTTCCGGCAGGTACACATAAATTTAGCGGTAACATGAAAGGGATGCTTGTCAACCTTTAATTGAGTTATTGAACATGTTGTTTTAATACAGAATTAATAGTTTGGTTGCCGGATAAGTTTTGCCTAGCGTAGTGTTCAGTCTCCTGCTGATTGTGTTTACTATATCATCACCTTTGAAGTCGAGATTTATAGATATTTGTTTTTTTATTAACCGTAGTTACTTCCATTTTGTTTTCTTTAGGTTTTTTATACTTTAATAGTTGAATTCATGAGTCAATTAAAACTAGACTACCATTAAAAACCTGAAAGCATTGGATGGCTGTTTCATCCTAATATGGGACTCCGAAGAAATGCACCTCCATGATATCGCCTTTCGAGATTCAATCCCAGGATCTATCGGTTTCACACGCGAGCACTTAACCACTAAACCACTGAACCGGTCAGCATCCAACGTTATTCATGTTTAACTTCAACTAAATTTGTCAATACATTTCTGTGGGTAACAGTTGTCCATTAGGCATTATTCAAAGTTCATTCATTCTTCTTCTAATTTGTCAGTGATACATGAAGATATTTTTTTAAGGTTTACTAATACATGATGAATTCAATTATTACCTTTCTACTTTATTATTATTATTATTATTCTCTTATTTAATTAATCCGTTTCCATATTGTTTAAATGTCAAGATTCATCAATAGAAGAAATGATACCTTTATTGATCAAATTGTAATATTTACCTATCCCTATTTCTCCTTATTTGGAATGTTATACAGGAGTTTTGAATGAAGTTACTAGTAAGTATATCAATGATAAATCTATCTTCATTTCCCATTCTACACACACATATATGTACACACACACACACACACACACACACAAGGAACCATCAACTACATGGATAGATTAACGCACACTTATGTACACACCATAAAATAGTTGAACCGTGTAAATTTATTTACTGCATGATTTATTATTACAAACAAACTAAAATATGGATGAACCAAAAGTTTAAGTTTCATGTTAAATCTTTGAATATCATAACTAGAGTAAGATATAAACAATGATGTTTTGCTTAATGGGATTCATTAATAATGTGTATCTGAAATATTCAGTTATATAATATTTCCTGGATTGGTTGAAGTTAGACATTAACATTGTTGTATGCTGATCGGTTCAGAGGTTAAGCGTTCACTCGAAGGACTTATAAATCCTAGGTTGGAATCTCGCGAGTTGGGATCATGGGTGCGCACTGCTGAGGAGTCCTACAATAGGACGAAACGGTCATCCAATGATTTAAACTTTTATTATTCTTATCAAAAACTAATACACCTGTTGTCGCACTATCAATTTGTACTTTTCACTTATTATGTAATCGTTTTCATTGTTATCATCGTTGACTCATAACCTACCTTGATTGGTTTAATAATTTCATATATGCATATAAATACATTACTGTATATTAGAGTAAAGCCTGATAAGGTTCTAATTGAAAACGCTATTGTTCGCTTATATCCATGTTATTCTAAATTTATTTTTAATATTCAGGAATGGAACTAATCAGTGCCTGTTGATGTGTTTTCATTTCTCAGTGGATTGTTTAAAGCTGATAATTATCAATCAATCATATGTGCGTTATTTAAAGTTGAAGAGTTACAATTGATTGATTACTAGTCAGTAATCAATGTAATTCTATCGACCAAGTTGCACTGTAGCCATTAGTCTGGGTAACTCAACACTGAGTGCACTAGGTTGAGATGAGATGGTGGTTGGAGGTAGTCGATAGAAAATCGTGGACTTAGGTTTCGTACTATTTGGCACATATCAGAAGGATGTACCTTTGATCTTCAGGGAACTGATGCTCTCAGATAGATTCGATCCTATGTTACCCAACTTCACAGTCAGAAACTTTACCATTGAGGTATCCCGGCTTCGATTGATCTCCTTCAGGAATAAGATGTATTTACAAAGTTGAAGATTACATCAGTTTCATGTTAGACATTACGAGTTATGAGGTGTCTAGAAGTAACACTACCTCGTTGAAACAGATAAAAGACAAGTGTTATTGGTCAATCTGTGAATGCAAAGTTATCGATTTTTTAACTTGGGTTCTTTGTTTTGTATGTAAAATAATCGTTTGGATTTTCCAATGTAAACTAACGTAATCATTTATTTAACAATAATATCTTCTGAAGTACTTATGGTTAGTACTTGGGGCTACGTGGATGCGCAGTGCTGAAGAATCCCATACCAGGACGAAACGGCCTTCCAGTACTTGCAGATTTTCCGTGGTGGTCTAGCTTCAATTGACTCATGATTTCAACCAGTGTACATTCATTAAGTCAATAATTAATTTCCCTACATCATTTGGAAATACTGATGTTTTACATTTATTCTAATAATCATTTATACCCTATTTGACTAGAATCTCAACATGTTCAAGATGGATTCTTTTTGTTTCATTTGAAGTTAGTTTATTATTATTATTATTATTATTATTATTATTATTATTATTATCATATGAAATTTCAATCGAAATACTTTAGCATGGTAGGCCCAATGAACACTAATGAAATATTTTGATTCAGATTCAGGTTTATGTAGTAAGAATAGAAGGTCTACGGTCTATGTTATTCCTTTTCTAGTATGCTTCTATGAGTGTCTATTCTTCTCTTGAATGAGTTAATTAAAGGTGCGGACACCATTGCTTCGGGTAACATATTCCAAGAATTGATGACTTGGAATGAAAACTTGTATGCCACGGGTATTTCTTTTTTGGTTCCTGGCTTTTCTACTCATCTGCTATGCCCTTTGAGATGTCCCGATCTAGTGGAAAGAAAAAGAAAGGATATATTAGATCCAAAACCACTTGTTTGGTATACCATACTGTGATAATTAGGAGTATTTGAATTATAGTATAAACTAAGAATACCATAAATAACACAATTGGATCAAGAAGTACTAGATAACCACAAACGAATGTACTGTATTTAGAATTCGAAATCAAGCATTCAACAAGTACAAAGGAATGATTAATTCATTCAAACACCACATATACGTTAAAATCAGTTCACCTCTTAATCTGCGATAGGACAGAATAAAGAGGTCTAGCTTTTAAAGCCACCCTTTTTATGGTAAACCCTGGAGTTCTGGAATTACACGGGTAGCCGCTCTCTGTACTTCTTTCAGGATATTCGAGTCACTTTCTAAACAGAGGTTTGCAGCCTCAATGCAGTTTTCAACCTTAGTTCTCACTAACGTTGTATATACTGTAGTGAACATCATGATAGTCTTAAACCCATATGGTTCTAAACATCTTAGCTGATCGTCATAAAAGGAAATTTCGTATCATTATTTTTAATCATACACTGGGTGCGTGGGGGGAACAATTGTAATTGATATCTTATCACAGGTTGAAATCATGAGTCAATTGAAGCTAAACCACCAAGGAAAACCTGGAAGCATTGGACGGCCGTTTCGTACTAGTATGGGACTCCTCAACAGTGCGCATCCACGATCCCGCCAGATTCGAACCCAGGACCTATCAGTCTCGCGCGCGAGCGCTTAACCAACTAGACCACTGAGCCGACTGGCACCCAACAGTGGTAATGTCTAACTTCAACCAATCCACGAAGTTGCGACACCGTACACCATTGTTTCCAGTGAGCTGATATCTCACAACATACCTGGTTGAACTCCACTGGTAACGGCTTCCAACTAGAACTCCAGGATTATTACTTGAAGTCAGTCACTAGTGAGCAGATGATTATTATCAGGAAGGGTTTTGTGGAGATTTTTAGAAATTTCACTGATTGAAGTCATAAGTCATGAAAGGTCCTGTGTTCGAATCTCGCGGGGTGCGGGATCGTGGATGCGCACTGCTGAGGAATCCCATACTAGGACGAAACGGCCGTCCAATGCTTCCAGGTTTTCCATGGTGGTTTAGCTTCAATTGACTCATGATTTCAACTTGTGAAATTTCCTAAAAATCTTCACAAAACCCTTCCTGATAATAATCATCTGCTCACTAGTGACTGACTTCAGGAGATACTCCTGGATTTCTAGTGAGAAGCCATTACCAGTGATATCTTATCAATTTATATTTCATTGAACATTGATCATTTTTCAGAAATACTTTGTTTTATCACATTATTGATTTATAAAATATATTATATCAGTTCAAAATATCAAATTTCAACCAATCAGAAAGTTTACCTGTCTATCAATCTATCAACAAACATATATACACATATTATAAAATAGTATGTTTATCTATCTATTTTCCTTTCTGATTACAACACATTATTATTATTAAAGATTAAAGTGTATATTTATTCACAAAAATGAATGATCTATTCAACATGATCGAATTGATGAACTCAATGATTCTTTTGTACGAAATTACATCATCATTATGATTGTATCTGTGTATTCTCTCCTTTTTCCCCCTACTAATTATGGTATGTTGTGTTATCTATCATCTAACAGTCAATAATGGAAGGTATCATTTGTTTCTATGTAACTCTATATTCCTCATCTACACATGATATGATTTTGTGTTTCTTATTGTTGAATCGAATATTCTTTTGTTAGTTTTATAATATAATTAGAATAACATGTGATATATTGTAAAAATAAACGGAAGTAAGCAAGGTAACAATACGCGCACGCTCACGCAAACGTGTGTGTGTATGTGTGTGTGTGTGTACATCATTGGGATATTGATATATACACTGATGTGTGTGTGTTTGTGTGCTTGTCATATATGTGTACTTGTGTACTTGTATACAACTGGGAAATAGTGTAGGATACAAATGTAATTCAATCATTTGAAAGCTACATATGCTTGGATATATAAAGTAAACATGAATTAGGAGAAACCATATAGGATTTATATCATCTAAAACATTTTCACTGAATAATCAAATATTGATTTTGATTAGATTAAATTTATTAATTAGACATTCATTAATAAGTTCCTTCAATAAAAACACAACAAACAAAATGGAGAATGGAGAAGATGAAGATGAAGATGATCTTTCTGAAGTATCATTTTATCAATCACAATTACATACAGTACAATTAAGAAATAAATTAGTCAATCAACAATCAGGTAGTCGTGCACCAACAATGACTATAGATGTTGTACGTGTTGGTAGACCATTAAAAGTAAGTTCAATGAATAATATATAATGTAATGAGTTTTATTTACTATATTAAACACTCCATGATTTCATGTAGAACAGTGAGATGATGTATATGTATATAAATTTATAAATAATAATATTTTCCTTGGTGGTCTAGCTTCAATGGACTGATGATCTTATAGTAGGCGTCGAGTCGCGATTAACTATGATCACCACTACAGAATGACTATGTGCCAGTTACTAGGTTAGATACCTCTGTAGGCCAATTATCAGTAGGCAGTTGAAGGTTGTAGTAAGATGTATATGTTGGCGATCTCATGGTATAGAAATAATACTGAGGTCGTGACAAAGTATACAAGTGGGACTACTGAGCATACGACAGTTCCTGCAAGGTCATAAACAACAGATGAGGGTGTTTTTGGATACACTAAAACAAACAAATACAGTAAAACAATCACTGATTATAATCATTGGTTATAATAATCATGATAATTGTTTCCATTATATCAAACTTGTTCTCTTCATGAAAGTAAGTCACAACAATGTCAACCATTGAAATTACTATAATATCCACAAAAACCCCGACTGATAGTAATCAGCATATGCTCACTAGTTACTGGCTTCAACAGCTATTTCCTGAAGTTCTAGTGAGAAGAAGTGACCAGTGGAGTTCAATCGAGTCTGTTGTGCAATAGTAACTTACTAAATACAATGTTAGAAGTGTCTCTCACTTTCGTGGCTTAGTTGAAGTTAGACATTAACACCGTTGGATTCCAACAGGCTCAGTGGTCTAGAGGTTATTCGTTCGCGTACGAGACTAACAGATCCTGTGTTTGAATCTCGAGAGGCGGTATTGTGGATGTGCACTGTTGAGGAGTCCCGAAATAGGACGAAACGGCTGTTCAGTGCTTCCAGATTTTCCATGGTTGTCTAGCTTCGACTGACTCATGATCTCAACTATTGAAATACTATTCTAGTTGAAAAACTAGTTATATTTTCACGAATTACAAGTCTCAATCATTAATGAAATGCATTTATCGGGTTAATGATTACTTGATGTTGTCATTTTGTTACTTATACAGTAAGAATTTGTTTTGGAAGTATCAATAAGCTGTCATTAACTTACCAGTCATCTATTGAATAATAAGTATTGTTTTATCCTTAATGTTAATTGGATTTTATCTCTTGATCAAGTTATTGATATAGCTACTAGATTAAGTGATATCGATATGGGATAAGTCCTATTCTAAATAATTCAGTAATAAAGTTTTTGAATATGATACTTAATGGAGATGTGTATTCAAAACTAACAAGTGCATCAGTTTCACTACATCATTATTCTGTAACTCTATGGATATTGTTGTGTCTTGAAGTCCGGATTTTTATCACGTAATTTATTCGTCAATCGAAATACAATTTATACAATCTTAGTACTGTGCTAAATCAACGACGTCCGAGCGGTATGATCGCCCACAGTCCTTAATAGTCTTTTGTTCGCCTAGCTCCGTCCAATTGAGTCCAGAACATCAATAACAGTTTCCATTATGCGAATCATTCATTTCAAACATACTTGGTTTTATATACAAGCCAAACAGACTTCATCATACCATAAAATAGGAAATAACATTTATACAAGATTAAACCAAAAAGTGGCTGTGAGCGTGATTGTGAGAGACTGTAATTAATAAACTGAGCATAACTTAAGAATGGTAAATGGTATAATAATAAATTATAACTCAAAATGAAGCCTAAAATAAGGGGAATATAGATATACATAACCTAATTACTGAATAGTTATACCATGAGAATATATAGATAATATTAGTTCATTAATAGGTCTCAGGAGTTACTCGTAATTTAATCTTGACTAGGATATAAGCACAAACATTAGTCTCCATGATCCTGAAGGAACAAATGTCGTATAAACCAATCGTCGCTCACTGGCTACCATGGAATTGTATCTCTTCAGGTCTAAGGAGTTACTTTTAATTTCATCTTCACTAGGATATAACAGATATATTTAGAGCTCTAAATGTAAAGTATTTCTTTCCAATTCAAATTATCAATTATCCCCATACAAATCAGTTTAGTATTATCATTTCAAACTATTGCATTTACTAATTGATTGAAATATTCTTACAATGAATAAATTTTATTGTAATAACTATATTCAAATAATTACATCATATGAAACTTCATATATATAACATGTGTAAGCTAATCATACGATTGCATAATACATGTATCACTGGTTGGTATTGAAGTAAACAAGAATTCAATTGGCGATAATTGAATATATTTACACACAAAATTACAGTGGAATGTATTTGGAGGTCGTTGACAGCAAACCCTGGACGCGGCTTTCGTGCTACTTTGCACTCGTCAGCAAGGTGTACCTGTAATCTTGAGGGAACTGGTGCTCCCTGGCGGACTTGATCCCGTGTCACTCAGCTTCACAGTCAGAGACGTTACCACTGAGCTATCCGGGCCGCGACTGACCTCCTGTAGGACTGAGATGTAATCAAAATTGATTGATCACTGGGTGGTGATCAATGTCATGTGTGTCAAGTCTCCTTTCGACTACCTCCAACCACCATCTGATCTCAGTATATAGTGCACGCAGTTTCGAGTCACCTAGACTGGTGGCCACATTGCAACATGGTCAATAACATTTGATCTACACTAAATAAGGACTTGACACACATGGCAATGATCACCACCCAGTGATCGATCAATTATGATTACAAAATTATAGTAAATACTTCATTTACAAAATGTCAATCAACTGTCTCAAACTTTACTATATCTTCATTTCTACAGCAATCATTCTTTATTCTAGTTCTCTTTTCTTTGATCTTCTTAACCTTCTACTGTCAGATATTCCACTTTCGATTGATGATACATACTACTTATATCTATCGACATCAGTTGTATACACCACAGTTTCAGTAGTCGGTAATTATTCAAATGCAATAATGTTTTCCATTTAATTACTTTCAATAAGAAACTGTTAAATATGAAAAAAAAATGGTTTTGAGACAGATTTTTATTATTAAATAATCAAATAATATGCTTTCATTTTCCATGGAGTTATGTTCTCTGAGTTGGATGGTTTAGTCGTGGAGCTTTCATCGTTCTTGATGGAGTTTTGTTCTCTGAGTTGGATGGTTTAGTCGTGGAGTTTTCATCGTTCTTCTGAACGACATCATCAGTACAGCTTTAATTTCCGTCAATTGAATTTCGGTTGTGTTGAATATATATGTTGAAATTAAATATAAATGAATTTCCTCAAAGTCAATCATTTCAGTGAACCAGTTAATTAAACGAAAAAATTCTATCAGAAGGGTTTTGTGGATATTATAGTAATTTCAATGGTTGAGACTTACTTTCATGAAGAGAACAAAATTGATATAATGGAAACAATTATCATGATTATTATAACCAATGATTATAATCAATGATTGTTTTACTGTATTTGTTTGTTTAAGTGTGTCCAAAAACACCCTCATCTGTTGTTTATGACCTTGCAGGAACTCTCATATGCTCAGTAGTCCCACTTGTATACTTTGGCAGGACGTCATTATTATTTCTATACCATGAGATCGCCAACATATACATCTTACTACAACCTTTAACTGTCGGCTCAGTGGTTAGGCGCTCATGCGCGAGATTGATAGGTCCTGGGTTCGGATCTCAAGAGGCAAGGTCGTAGATGCGCACTACTGAGGAGTCCCACAATACGACGAGACGGCCATCCAGTTCTTCCAGATTCGCCATGGTGATCTAGCTTGAATTGACTCATGATCCCAACTATTTAAAAACTTTTTTTAAAATTGTTAATATCTAATGAATTTGTATCTTCTTATGACAAATTTGTGTAAAATTTAATTTTATTTAGTAAATCTTTCCTTACGCCTATTACTCCTAATGGAGCATAGGCCGCCGGCCAGTATTTTCCAACTCACTCTGTCCCGAGCCTTCCTTTCTATTTCTACCCAATCTTTGTTCATTTTTCTCATATTTGTCTCCATTTTTGGTGCAATGTGTTCTTTGATCTTCCTCTTCTCCTTCGGCATTAAGGATTCCATGTGAGGGCTTGCCTTGTGGAACAGTTGGGTGCTTTCCTCAATGTGTGTCCTATCCACTTCTAGCGCTTCTTCTTGATTTCTTGCCCCGCTGTTACCCGATTTGTTCTCTCCCATAGTAGGTTTATGCTGATATTGTCTGGCCAACGGATCTGAATTTATTTGCGTAGACAATTGTTAATAAATACTTTTATGTTCTGGATGATGGCTTTCGTTGTTCACCAGGTTTCTGCCCCATACACTGGAACTGTCTTGACATTTACATTAAAAATTCTAACTATGATGTTGGTTGACAATTGTTTTGAGTTTCAGATGTTCTTTAGTTGTAAATATGCTGCTCTTGCTTTGCCGATCAGCGCTATCACATCTGCATCAGATCCATCGTGAAAATAGAATTCTTTTCGGTAAAGTTAACAACACACTTGATCATACTATTAGTGATGTAGTCAGTACTAGACATTAATGTAAAATATCAACAAAATTAGAAATATTTACACACATTCTAATATATGAACCATAGAAACTTATCTGTCATATTGTTCAACTAAAATTTCAATGATTTAAGTTATCTCATTGCTGATATTTTGTCTGAAATCTGATATCAGGATCTGGATCCAGGCATATTTAGCTGATCAGTCCTAATCATACTCTATCTATTCTATATAAAATCAATTAATTGATTTGCATGAAAGGGAAGTATAATATATATGTGTAATTTAGTAGTTTAATTATTTTCGTTAGCTCTACCATCCCATTTATTGATTTTATAAACGATATACTTCGATTGAATTATTGATTAATCGATTTTTTTTTAAATTTTTGACAATTTATTACATTCCAATTGATTGATTTTTTCGACAATATAAAATGACATAAAACTGTAAATTTTACTTAGGTGCAAATCAATGTTTAATGCATATTTTCATCTAATGGTCTT